ACTACTTGATAATATCCCTTTTATTGAAACTGCTGGGAAGTCACACACAGATTGGAGCCACTAAATTCAACCTCACCTAGATCCTCCAAGTCATTTGTGTCGTATGCCAGTTCGCTTTCTCTAGCTTTCTTCATCAGCTTGCCCAAATTCCTCAATTTCTCAGCCTCACTGTTGATCACATCCACAGATTTCACCTGTTTCTAAGTGAGCAAGTAGAGGCTGAAAGTCAAGGAACCATTTAGAGTGCTCTCGGGCCGCGTTAGCTAGAGCCACTTACCTCTCCCCACCTTGCCTACCTCCCTCCCTGTTTGCAGGAGGGGTGCTTCTCCCCTTCAGCTAGTAGAAATGTGACCAACACAAGAGTTTGGGGGGGGGTTGTTTATTTAGTTTTGTTTTTCAAAACAGGGTTTCTCGATATAATAGCTCTGGCTGTCCTGGAGCTCACTCTGTAGACCAGGCTGGCCTCGAACTCACAGAGAGCTGTCTGCTTCTGCCTCCTGAGCATTGGGATTAAAGGTGTGCGCCACCACACCTGTTGAGAAGAGTTTTACCATTGGACTGAGAGGATGGTCGAGGCACAGTGGGATAGAGGAGAGGGTTCTTCTAGGACAAAGGCCCTGAGAGGACAAGGGTGAGGAGCATGGTGGAAGCTGGAATTAACCAGCCCTTGGAAAGGCCCTCACAGCATCAGGAAAGGTAGTTATCATCCCTGTTTCTGCTCTCATGAGTGAGAAAGCAGTTTCAAGTTGTAAGAAAGGGAAGAATGTCAGAGGCTTGCAGAGGTAGCCTTAGTAGTAAGAGATAATGAATTAAAAAGACAGTGTGTTTGCCAGTAGCCTTATTAAAGTTTCGTGTGGGGCCAGCTATCAGTTGCTCAAGAAATCTGAGCAAGAGGCACAGAAGTGACCCATCACTCCCTTGTTTCTGTTCCAGTCTCTCTGTGCTCGTGCGTTTTTAATCAAGCACCCTTGAGGTGCTTCCTCCCATCGGTTAAGTGAGAAGTATTGAACATATGTGAGGTGACTTACTACAGAATGTGTCACTGTGCTAGGCCACAGGGTAGTACATGGAGTCGCGTGGATGGAAGCGGTCTCACTGTTGCTGGGTTAGCGCCAAAGCCTCCTGACTTGTTTCTAGATCCACAGAGTAGTAGTATCTGCTTCAGAGTGTTGTGGGGTTGGTGAATTAGAGAGCGTGAGAAAAAAGTCTGTCCATTTTAAAAACGGAAGCTGTTCAATCTGTAGAGTAGAAAATGCAGTCAGCCAGAATCAGATGCCTGCCACCTAGTAGTTACCAGCATTATTAGCACGCATCTTTTTTGGCCTGTAAATTTTTTTACAGAGACAGGATTCACATGCCGTAAGGTTTACCCTTTAAAATACACCCTTTTCCTTACAGATGTAAGACCTTGTGTTGTCTGCTGTGTACGTCATAACCAGCCTCTTCTGTTTAATGCCAGAGCAGTTTCCCTCTGTCATTGCTGCCTGAAAAAATGTTGACTGTTCCATTAGTATGCTATAATTTAATTATATGGGAGCATTTACATTTCCTACAGTTATTTTACTAATATGAGTATTTTGTAGTGAGTATAGTTTTTTATGTCTTTGCTTAACTGATTCTAAAATAATTTTCTGAACTTGTAGTCATGAAATACAAACACTAAGACTTCTTAAGAGTATTATTAATTTGTCTGCTAAGACAAAGAATCTGATAATTTCTGTTTCCTGCCTAACTGGGAATTTTCTCATCAACTTTCAATAATAAATGTTTTATTTCATTACATTTATCAAGAAGTACTATGTTGTAATATGTTTTTCTCTTTTGGCTTTTGGGGGGCCCACCACCCAGCTCCCAAATAAATCCCACCTGGAGGCTCATTCTTAGTTATGAATGCCTGGCTCTAGCGTGGCTTGTTTTTTGTCAGTTTTTCTTAAATTATCTTTTGCCTCTAGGCTTTCACCTTTCTCTTCTTCTGTATGCCTTTCTCTACTTTCTCTACGGCTTGCTGCATAGCTGGGCAGGTGGGCCCTGATGTCCTCCTCTCCTTGTTCTCTTTCTGTTGTTCCACCTTCTCTCGTTTCTCCTTTTATACTCTCTGCCCGCTGCCCCGCCTATCCTTGCTTCTGCCTCGCTATTGGCCCGTCATCCCCTTATTAGGACCATCAGGTGTTTTAGGCAGGCAAAGAATCACAGCTTCACAGTTAATCAAATGCAGCGTAAACAAAAGTAACACACCTGAAAATAATATTCTACAACTCACTATTTTTTTAGATTTCAAGAGCAAAATTTTACCCTAGAGTAATAAAAATGGACAGAGAACATCACACCCTTTCTGAGTAACATGTTTAGTGCACGGAGCAGTGAGTCACAGATGGCATGTCCATGTCTGCCTGTTAAGAAACTTGATCATGTTCGCCTCCCTTCCTTTGCTCTTCTTCCCCCACGCCGTCCTCTTCCTTTCTTTTATGTCTTTTTATTAAGATTCTGCTTGTGAAAGAAAATGTGTTTGTCTTCTGAGCCTGCTCTAATTCATCTAATATGATGATCTCCAGGTCCTCCCATTTTCCTGCAAGTGACACAACTTCTTTACGGCTGAGTAAAGTGTCATTGTATATCTGGAGCATGCTTCCTTTTCCTTTTAGCTAGCGTGGACACCTAAGCTGCTTCTGTACCGAATGCGGTGTTGAACATGGAAATTCCAGTTCTCAAAGCACAGGAGGATGCTAAAGCCACTGTTCAAAAATGTACTCAGCTGTGAAGCCAGCGCTCTATGGAGTCTTGTACCCCTTACTCCAGCCAAACAGAAATCAGAATTCTCAGGGCATTTGAGGATGGTACAAGAGTAGCCAGTTTCATCATCGCTCGGTAGATGACATTTTCACTCTGGCTTTTTTGAAAATACACAAGCACATGCACACACCCTTGAGATGGTGCCCAACAAGGATATTCTTGGTTGTCACTCTGTAAGGTGACAAATAACTCAAAACTTCCTTATCCCCTGATGCATCACCATCCCATCCCCAACTGAGGATTGGCTGCATGGCCTGCTTTAAAAACAGGCGTCCTTTGTAATCTTTGGGGCAGACTGTACCTCCCCCGAGATGCGGGAATGTTCCCACCCTGTTCTCCTAAGTTCTTCAGACATGTCTCCTGCTCGCATTGTGCTTTGTTGTTGCACCCACTGATGCCTCTCAGGCTGCAGAAAAAGCCATCAGACACATGTGATGTCTGTTTTACTTTCGTGTTTATGTCAGTGGGAAACTGCAAGGAAAGCTCATTTCTCAGTATCAGTTTTTACTGTTTTGGAATATGACAGTATAGAGGTGTTAACCCAGAAGACTTCCTTAGTGCCCACAGCATTCCAGCCCCTTCTCTTTGACAGTTGAAGCATTTCATTCAGTTCCCACGTTAATTCTATCGTGTTTATAAAGCAGAGGCTGGTACCAGATCTTGCCTCTGTGCTCCTGTGACTGCTGAGTGATGTGGTAGACATAGACCCCTTCCTGGCACATCAGGCCACAGATGAGCCTAGTGCTTATAACACCCACTCCTCTGTTCCACGACCATCCTATATACAGATGAACAGATTTTGTAATTACTATGAAATGACCAATGTTTCTATTTTAATTTTTATTTACAACAACCAAATGCCTTTATAATCATATGCTACTGATGAATCAGTTCTGTGAAGACGAGTCCATAGTTCCATTACTGTCTTCACTTGGGTCAGGTTGTCCAGTATCTGATTGAGATACTGGCAGTATTATGAGCTAAATCATCTTGTTTGTTTATATGTATGTTGAGGATAGTACTACATTCAAAAGCCTAGGACCTGGGAGTGGGAGTGGAATTCTCTGAAAATTAATTTCACACCTTCATGCAAAGCACTCACCTACACAGTTAAGCAGATATGAGGTCTCCCTTCTTCGGGAGTTTCT